AAAAAAAAAAAAAAGAAGAAAGAAGGATACTAGAAGAATAAATTACATAAAATTGTGGCAGTGATTTGCCAAATCCTAGATGAGATCTATTAAGCAAATACTTAATTTCCAATAAATCAATGGTATGAAAAGAAGTGTAAGGGGGGTGGGTTAGAGGGGAGCCAATACTAGTAAAGGGTACAAAAGAGACATAACCAAATGTAATGTATTGAGGCTGGGGATATGGCTCAGTGTTAGAGAGCTTGCCTAGTATGCATGAGGCCCTGGGTTGGATCCCCACAACTATGAAAAAAAAGAAAACGTAAAAACCAAATACAGTGTGTTGATCTTGGTTAGAATAAACCAGGTGTGAATGGATACCTTTGAGATAACTGGGGAAATCTGAATATAGACTTGAGAATTGCGTGATATTAAGGAATTATTGCTAAACTGGTTGGATAATGGTTTCTCTTTTCATCTGGAATGAAAGCCAACACACTCTAACCATGATCTACCAGGCCCTGCATGATTTGGCCCCCTCTACTGCCCTGTTTTGTTTTGTTTTTTGGGGGGCAGGTACCAGGGATTAAACTCAGTGGCACTACACTGAACCACATCCCCAGTCCTTTTTTGAATTTTATTTAGAGAGAGGGCCTCACTGTTGCTGAGGCTGGCTTTGAACTTGCCATCCTCCTGCCTCAGCCTTCTGAGCCGCTGGGATTACAGGCATCCACTCGGCTTGTCCCGGTTTTATTTCATTTCCTTTTTCTCTCCCTTCTTCACATCAATCCAGTCACATTGAAATCTCAATGTTTCTGAAAGGTACCTCACCTGCTCCCACTTCAGGGACCTTAGACTTGCTTTTCCCCCTGTTAAGATGCTCTTTCCCCAGGTATGTGCATTGTTTATTCCCTCAACTCTTTACAATGAGGCCTTCCTTGGCCACTCCATCTAAAACTGTGATCACCTCCCAATCCCTAAGAACACCTCCATTTCATCTTGTTGTGTTTTTTTCTTTTCTTTTCTTCTTCTTCTTTTTTTTTTTTTGTTTTTTTTTTGTTTTGTAGTTGTAGATGGACTGAATGCCTTTATTTTATTTGTTATGTGGTGCTAAGGACTGAATGACTTCTTTTATTTATTTATATGTGGTGCTGAGTGCCTCACATGTGCTAAGCAAGGGCTCTGCCACTGAGCCATAACCCCAACCCCTCTTCATTTTTCTCCTTCTTTAATAGGGATTGAACCCAGAGGTGCTCAATCATTGAACAGCTGTCAGCCCTTTTTATTTTTTTTATTTTGAGACAGGGTCTCACTAAGTCGTTGAGGTTGGCCTCAAACTTGCAATTATTCTGCCTCAGCCTCCCTAGTCACTGCAATTAGAGGCATATGCCACCAGGCCCGGCTTCTGCTGTTTTTCTTCTAACAACATTTAACATATTTTATTTATTTTTTTTAAATTGATCTTTTCCTGTTTTGCTTTGGGCTCAGTCCCCAGTACCATACACACAAAAAATATGAGGGTTTTTTTTTTTTTTTTTTTTAGAGGCACCCCCTCCTCTACACAATCTTTTTTTTTTTTTTTTAAAGAGAGAGAGAATTTTAATATTTATTTTTTAGTTTTTCGGCAGACACAACATCTTTGTTTGTATGTGGTGCTGAGGATTGAACCCGGACCGCACGCATGCCAGGCGAGCGCGCTACCACTTGAGCCAAATCTCCAGCCCCTGTTTTTTTKTTTTTTTTTTTTAATGTCCAAACCAAAGTTGAAGAGCTAGAAAGTAAATGGCACACAGGCACATCACAGTCCAGACATAACCTATCTCTCTCTAGTCATTCCATGTTTCACTTCATATACCAGTAAGGAAAAACTGCTGATAGGGGGCTGGGGATGTGGCTCAGCAGTACAGCGCTCACCTAGCATGTGTGAGGCACTGGGTTCAATTTTCAGCACCACAAATAAATAAATAAAATCAAGGTCCACCAACAACTAAAAAAAAATTTTTAAATAAAAATTTTTTWAAAATCTGCTCATAGATCTCCAACACACTGATTTACCCTTCCATGGTTTTACACAGAAAAAAGTATAATTTGTTGGTTAAAAGCTTAAAGAATCAGGCCTGGATTCAACCCTAATTCCACCTCTTACTAGCTGTGTGATCTTGAACAAGTTAAACTCTCTGATTCTTCATTTATAAAATAGAGATTACAAATGTCAGAAAATGATTCAATGAAGCAACAAGTATAAAGTATTTCACCTAGTTTCTGGCACACAGTGAGAAATGAATAATATTACTTAACCCTATTACTGGCTCATGCTATTCATTTTCTGGAATTTTCTCTCCCTGTCTCATTTAACCTGTATTCCTACATATCCTTTAAAAACATAACTTAAAAAATTATAGGGGCTGGGGATGTGGCTCAAGCGGTAGTGCRCTCGCCTGGCATGCGTGTGACCCGGGTTCGATCCTCAGCACCACAACAAACAAAGATGTTGTGTCCGCCAATAACTAAAAAATAAAGAAATATTTAAAAAAAAAAATTATATCACTCAAGGGCTGAGGTTGTTGCTCGGCAGTAGAGCAATTGCCTAGCACGTGTGAGATCCTGGGTTGAGACCCTGGGTGTGAGGCCCTGGGTTCGATCCTCAGCACCCATAAAAAGAAATAAATAAGATAACGGTATTGTGTCCAACTACAACTAAAAAATAAAWTTTAAAAAATTATATCACTCAAAACTTTCTCTTTCCTTCCAGTTAAATGCTTTTTCTAAAGGGCAATCCCTTTTCCTTGTATATTCTATAGTAATTTCTTTTACCTATGTATTATTTCTCCCCTACCTGAGTAGGAAATTTTTGAAGGCGTTATCAATTTCTTATTTATCTCCTAGTTCCTGGTAACTAAAAAGTTCATAATACTCAGTAAAGTGTTTAATGTGGCCAGGTGCATGGTGTACTCCTGTAATCCCAGTGGCTCAGGAGGCTGAGACAAGAGGATCACGAGTTCAAAGCCAGCCTCAGCAACTTAGTGAGGCCCTAAGCAATTCAGCAAGACTCTATCTCTAAATAAAATGTAAAGAAAGGGCTAGGGATGTGGCTCTGTGTTTGAGAGCCCTTCTGTTTAAAAAAAAAAAATGTTTAATGTAAAACTGAACAGGACTTGTATATATATGCAATTTAATTTCAAACACTGCACTCCTTTCCATTACATCCCACTTCCTACCCTCTACTCTGATGGGCAATGATTGCTTCTGATTAGATAGCATAACTTATGAATAAATTGCTGCCTTCAAGACAAACACTGAATTTGAGGTCAATTTTTTTTCAAACCAAACACACTTGTTCATTCAGCGATATCTTTTAATAGGTTATAGGACGCCCATACTGATCCCCCAGGAACTCACATTTCAGAGGGATCTCTCTCTCGTGCACAACAGTAAAGGGTAACTTCTCCTGGTCATCCAGGGGCACTGAATCACGGGTAAACACTACAGTGATGGGCACCATGAGCCGGAGCTGCAGGAAGAAGCATCAGGGACTTCGACTGAGTCTCCGCCTTGCCGGTGGGCTGTTCCCGGGTCTTCCCCCACCCAAGTCTCACCTGCAGGGCATTGAGCCCACTGATCTGGGAGTAAGGCAACGGAGCCCGGTACGTCTCCGTGGTCTTCCACCAGAGCGGTAGCCCCAACACGATGGCCACCGCGGCGAAGAAAAGRGCGGCGCGCTTGCCCCGGATCACCTCTGCAGGCACAGGAGGACAGACTGAGGGGCGCGAAACAGGCTCGGCTACTAGCTCCACCGCTGTCGCGGAGGAGCAGGGACAATCGGTCCTCAAGGGCCTCTCTCCGCCCGCGTTCGGAGATGCCAGTGCTAAGGGCCCTCGCAGGTCTGAAGGGACCCCGTCTGAAACCACTCCCAACCCACCCACTGCAGTACTCTTGCATACTTCAGGACCCACCCCTGCATCCCTCCCTCGCAATCCTGGAGCCGCAGCCCCGTCTGAAGCCCATCGCACCTAGATCGGTGGCCGCGGCCCCAGAGGCCGCCATGCTCGTTTCCGGCTGCTCGGGCCGCCGAGGGGCGGAGCATCGTAAGCCTCCCCCAATCGGAAATCTCGCAACAAGGGGCGGGACCACTACGACAGCAATCACCGCCAATCGTTAGCGGCAGTACGACGCTCGCTGGGGAAAGCCGGCTGGGAGTGGGCCGAATCCAAGTGGAGCGGCGCTGGGCGTTTGAAAGGTAATGCCCACACCGAAGGGGCGGTGTGGGAGCGGTACGCTGTTGAAGACAAATCTCCCTGCTGCCTAGTAGAACACACTCTTAAATCCCAAGGATTAATGGAGCCAACTCTATTCGTTAAATACCAGCTGGGCAGCAGGGCGCGGTGGTGCTCGCAGGTACTCCCAGCCTCTCAGGAGGCAGAGGCTAGGAGGATCACCAAATTGAGAACAGTCTGGGCAATTTGGGGAGAACTTGTCTTAAAAAAAAAGGGGGGGTTGTTTGTTTGTTTTTGTTTGTTTTAAAAGAGATGTAGCTCAATGAAAGCAGCCCTTGGTTCAATTCCCTGTTCGGGAATGGAGGAGGGGGAGAGGGGGTGCTGGGCATTCGTGGGAGTCCTGTCGCTTTTTCCAGATCTGAAAAAAGGAAGGTATTTTCTTCAGTGAGGTCATTCTTGTAAATAGCCTGGTGCAGGGAGAGCCCTCAAATGTCAGTTGTCACAATTATTGTAGAGTTCCTATTTCTGGCTCCTTCTCCTCAAGCCTCAAACACGGAGGTTACAGGCTAGCACTTTTTTTTTTTTTTTTAGCATAACTGGCTAAATTGTACTCTTTATTTATTTAAAAATAAAAATATTTTTTTTGGGGGGCTGGGGATGTGGCTCAAGCGGTAACGCACTCGCCTGGCATGCGCAGGTCGCTGGGTTCGATCCTCAGCACCACATAAAAATTAAAATGTTGTGTCCATCGAAAACTAAAAAAATAAAATTAAAAAAAAAATCTCTCTCTCTCTCTCTCTCTTTAAAAAAAAAAATTTTTTTTGACACCGGTCTTGCTATGTTCCCCAGGCTGGTCTGGAACTACCAGGTCCTTCTGCCTCAGTCTCCCAAGTAGCTGGGACTACATGTGTGTCTCTGCATCTGACTTCCAGTATTTTAAAATTCATTTGAATTCATTTCCAACTTGGAAAAGTCAGGACATTTTACTTAAAAATAAATCTCTAGGGCTGGGATTGTGCCTCACACCACATAAAAATAAATAAAGATATTGTGTCCATCTACAACTAAAAAAAAAATTAAAGGAATAATAAATCTCTAAAATTCAAGAGCACAGACTCTGGATCCTAATCACTAGGGTTCAAATTCTGGCTTCACATCTTTTTACCTAAATGATGTCTCTGTGCCTGTTTCCTTATATTAAAATAGGAATAAGCCAAGTGTGATGTGTGGTGGTCCACACCTGTAATCCCAGTGACTTGGGAGGCTGAGGCAGGAAGGTTGCAAATTGGAGGCCAGCTTCCACAATTTAGTGAGACCCTCTGCAACTTAGCAAGATCCTAGCTCAAAATATAAGTAAAAAGGGCTGAAGATGTAGCTCAGTGGTAAAGTGACCCTGGGTTCAATCCCTAGGACCAAAAATAATGACAAAAATAGGGGCTAATAATAGTATATACTTTATAGAGTTGTATTGAGTTAATATATATGGTAGTTAGCACATAAGAAATGCTTCATGTTAGCTATTTTTGTTATAAGGTCTGGCCCCACCAGGGGGAGTAATAGTAACCTCCCCAGTAAATAGAACATGTCCAGCTTCTTCTCTCATCTTTGCTTTTTAAAAAATATTTTTAGTTATAGGTGGACACAATATCTTTATTTTTTTTTAATTTTTATGTGGGCTGAGGATCAAACCCAGTGCCTCAAGCATACTAGGTGAGTACTCTACCTCTGAGCCACAACCCTAGCCCCATGTTCTCTCATCTTTAATCTATTCAGATAGACTGAGGTTCTCAGCTGATGTCACACCCCAACTGAGTGGTTAAAATTTCAGCATGAGGGCTCACASGGTCTCCCTTGCCAAGACTTTCAAATTGGCCCCTTTTATATTCTTATCCCAAATGGGAATAAGCATAGTTCTTGGCAACCTCAAGATACCATACTATGGTTAGCCCAGCAGCCACTAGAGCCTTGGGGGTTTACCAAGACCAGGTGATCCTACTGGTGGAATGTGTCAGGCCCCAGCAGGGCTCAGAACTGCCGAGGTGGGAGAACTACTCTCATCCCAGTTTATCCTGCTTCCTCCCTGCTTTGAGCCTTGCACAAAATCTGCTTTCAGAAGTTGTTCATCTTGCCTCACTCCATCTTCTGTATAAGAAGCCCAAGTGCCCCTGACATGGCAGACTCCCGACTTAGGAGTCCTTACTGTTCGATTCCAGTTTTGGACATCAACACACAGGATACTGAGCTGCCTCAAATCCCACCCTTTTCACCTCCATGGTTGGAGGGCCCAGAGAAAGAATCAGTAGAGGTCAGAAATGGGAGGTAGAAATTTGATGTGTAAAACACACAGACAAAGTAGCATGTTTTGCTACCATTTATTTGCTATGTGGTATGTATTCAAGGCATGAGGCGGGACTAGTGTACTTCTCTCTCATCCTAGGAGATGCAGCAAGGAGAGCCCAAGGAGAAGCTATACCACCATGGGGAAATTGTTAGGGCTAGTGGAGGTAGGGAAGACCCAGGCATTCTGTTCTGACTTCTAGCAGGTTCTCCCGCCCTCAGGCATTAGGGGCTCCCTATTCTCCCATCCTATGGTCCCAGGTGCAGCAATGAGAGGGGAGGAGAGAAGAGAAAAAGAAGTTGACTTGATRTTGGACAAAGGCATCTCTGTTCTGCGTGGCTATTTGGCCCTGACCATGACTACAGGCAAAAGAGTACAGATGGCTGGGCCAAGGGCCATAGTGTGGATTAAGTATGCCTCAGTAGGCATGGTTGGCGATGTAGAGGGACTGTGCTGCTGCTCCACCATCTTCTCCAGTGCCTTCGTACTGGCCCTGGGCGGCAAGCCCATTCACCTGCAAAAGGGGAAAGTGGAGTAAACAGGCTGTGCCGGTCCAAAGGTATTAAATTGCCCCAGATGTAACCTCTGGGTGCTGGTCCCTGCCCTGCTACACACTCTACCACCACCACCACTTCTAGTTCCTGACCTCAGCTCGCTTGATGAACTCCTCAGTGGCAGCCCCAGCATTGTCCCTTTGTCCTCGCCAGGCATTCAGTGCAGAGGCCTGCAGGGCACGTCCATAGGAGAAGGTGAGTGCCCAGGGTCGAGGGAGTGGGCAGCGGTTGATGGCATTGAGGTTGAGTGATGCCTCCTCTTCACTTTGACCTCCAGACAGGAAAGTCACTCCTGAGGTAGAGGAGAGAAGACAAATTGATTGGTCACTCCCTATTTTTCCAGGGTAAGGGACCTTTGACAGCCACAAATAGAACTTGAGGATGGACCTTAGGGATAGGAACAAGTTAGCCAGGTAGTACCTGGGACAGCAGGTGGCACAGTGCGACGCAAAGCAGTAACAGTTGCCATGGCAATCTCTTCTGGGGTATACTTGATGGGACAGGCATGGCCAGGGGTCACCATGTTGGGCTTGAGCAGCGTCCCCTCCAGGTACACGTGATGATCACTAAGAGCCTTGTACACGGCAGCCAGGACCTGGGGATCAAAGGAGGTTTATGAAGGGTCTCTGGATCCCCATTGCTTACTGCTCTGTGCCCCCCATCTTAGAGATAGATGAGGTGGGTATGGACTGTGAGGATTCAGTATAGGCTCAGATCTGCAGGTCTGTTTGGGGATCAGGAGAAGAGCACTAGGGGAGAGTGTGCCTGGATCTAAGCTGGAGGTATAGGCATAGGCACCCCTTGCCAGGCTGCCTTTGAAGTATGTGTCTGTGCCCACCTGTGAACTCACCTTCTCYGTAACATACTGGCAACGTTTGAGGTCATGGTCTCCATCAGGCAGGATCTCAGGCTCCACAATAGGCACAATGCCATTCTGTAGGCAAGAAAGAATGGCTTAGGTGGGGCAATAAGTGAGAAAGGAAGCTCTTTAATCCTCTCCCCACCAGGAACAGGACACCCAATTGACTACCCAAACCCACATACCTGCTGGCAGATGCTGGCATAGCGGGCCAGCACATTGGCATTCTCCAGAATGGCAAGTGCTGAGGGCGTGCGCTCACTGATTTTCAGCACACAGCGCCATTTGGCAAAGTCCGCACCATCCTTCTTGTATTGGGCACAGCGTTCTGAGAGACCATCCAGTCCTGCAATGATAGTGCCAGCCTCATCACCCTGCCCTCTCTTGCTTGTATTGAACACTTAATCCCTGTGGTACTAAAGCCCACCCACCATGTACCTTGGGTAGTAGTTTCTCCATCTGTCCCAGCCAGAGGCACTACACCCTTATCAACCTGCAGAGGAAACAGGCAGAGGGCTGAGCCCAAGCAGAATTCTCCTTACCACCCCTCCTATACATATTTCCATATCCAGCCCCCAGTCAGGACCAGGGACTGTACCTTAATGCCTACAACGATGCCCTTATCTTGGATGGTTCGGACAAAGGGGACACCGTTATCATCTTTCTGGTAGAGTGTCTCATGGAAAAAGATGACACCTCCAATGCACTTCTTCACACGGTCATCAGCACTGAACAGGACCTGGCGGTACAGCCGGCGGTTCTCCTCTGTGTTTTCTACCCCAATTTGGCTCAGCCTCTTGGCCATGCTACCTGTAGGCAAATAAGAGACAACCAACTCCCTGACCATGGCTCCCTGGCTATCTCCACCACCCTGACCACAGGCCCCACTTACCTACAGACTCATCTGCGGCCAGGATACCTTTGCCTGGGGCTACGATGCGGAGGGCGATGTCAGACAACTCCTTTTTCTGCTCAGCAGAAAGGGCTGGGTAGGAGTGGGGCATGGTGACAGCTCTCTGGAATGGAGACAAAATATAAAAGTTGAACCCCACCCATTACCTCCTCTGCTTAGCCAAATGCCTCCCCACCCCAAAAGTGGAA